GGTTAGAAGGCAATGGCTGTTGGTGCAGCTATTTGGAAATGGAAGAAATACAAAATGACCAGCAACCACCCTTGGTCTGGAGGTCTTGTGTCATGGCGTGAGGATGATAAAGAAAAAGGTGGTGGATCAGCCCAAAACTACACAGGAGCAGCTTGTCAATGATCTGAAGGCAGTTGGAACCACCGTCACCAAGAACACAAAATCTCTACTGACAAACCTGCTGAGCAGCTAGGAACAGGATCTCCAACTGGTACTAAATCATGTTTTGCTTGGGGATCAAATAATTGTTTCACTCAATGACATGCAAATGAGTTTATAACTTTTATGTTATTAACGGACATATATAATCCTCACAGTGGTGGCAGTTTCATGTAATGTTTATAAGGTTGGGGTGACTTGGAGGAGTGACAAAATGTTTCTCCCACTGAAAACTCTACATATGGATGAACAGAATCAACTTTTTGGGGTTTTATGTCATTTGTTTTTTCTTGATATTCGGTTGCTATTCTTTCTCTTTCCATAAAAATAAAACTACTATAAAAGTTAGGAACTGTTTTCTGTGTGAGCACATTTACAAATTCAGTGGTGAATCAAACAACTATTTCCCTCCATTGTTTGGCGGTATGTGAGGTATAAATTCACACCCTATTTTTTGCATTCAGCAAACTTTCAGCAAACCATTCCGCAAATTTTCTCGTAACTGTTTTCAAAAAACCTGAAGATCATCATGATTGCTTCCAAGTAGTCCCATACCATCATGGCAACTTATCTTAAGTTTTGTCACCTGCATTTCTCATTTCTGCCGCTTCAGCTCTAATCGGAAAGGTCACGTCAACAGATCCAGGGGACAGATATATGGACAGATAGCTGCTCTGGACAGTTTTTCACAGTGGCAGGATCTTACAGTAGCAAAAGTCTCATGTTACCGGTGTCTTATTTCACTAGCTCAGGGCAGCAAGTGAAACTCACTGCCCTTGGGTATGTGTCCTCTCTTCTCATTATCTGTTTATCTACCACTCAATAGTCTTTTACCGTTTCTCCTGTTTATTTTTCTCCATATCACTTAGACATGGCTCGCGATACTGCCAAAGCTAATGAGGTAAATTAATGCACTTTTCTGAACTCCCAGAGGTTAGAGATTTTTTATTATGTTACCAAATGCACAACAGTAATATTATATGATATATTATATGACATATAATATATGTGATTCTGCAGTCATGTAATGTATAACCCCACACAATACTAGCTGTTCATAATTCAGATCTGTTTGCTGACTTTCAGAAATCAAATGTATTTGCAGTCATTGTATACAGCCACACTTCAAAGCAGATAAGGTAAAGAAGAAAAGAAAGAAAAGAAAAGAAACGAGGAATGTTATAGTTTTTCTTATACCTCTGTGTACCTGGACGATCCTGGCATGATAAATAGTATATATTAAGCTGAGCCTCATTATTGTACAAATCACTTTGGTTAACCAGATACATTTTATTATTATCCATAACATAATACCATGAAGAAGGCAACTGATTAGTCCCAGATTTATTTTTCAACATGACAACAACCACAAACATACAGCCAGTGTCCAAAAAAACTATGTTCTGCAACAAGAAGAGCAACAAGTACTGCAGCAGATGGTACAGTCCAATGGGCAGAAATCTGTGCCATCAGAAACTGAATTTGAATAAGTTAAATTTGAAATGCTCGGATTGAATTACATGTAATACATTTATTACCAACCTGAGAGTTTATCCGCTGGTCATTCGACATGACGAATGACTTCTGAAGTCTTAATTCAGCTCAAGACGCGTAGATTACTGTCAGTAACACTTTCGGTCCGCTAGTAAAACGTAGTTCTATTAATCTGGGCTCGATTACTCTTGAACCGGAACCGGATGTAAGTTCCAAAATACTGAATTGTAGAACTGAAACTGAATGGTGAGAAGTGAATCTGAACTTATTTGAGAGCTAAACTTTTAAAGGATAAAATACGGTTTCAAAGCAAATAAATTCATTTTCAAAATATAAAATTCAATTTCAATTTAGTGATGATCATTTTCAAACCAATAAATTGAATTTCAAATTAGGCTAAGTCATATTCAGTTTTTAAAGGCATTTATTCAAGTTCCAATTCAGATTCAACCGAGCAATTCAAATTTAACTTATTCAAATTCAGTTTCTGATGGCACAGATTTCTGCCCATAATTTTCTTTTTACTTTTATAAAGGTAACAGATACATAATTTAAACTGAAAAATAAAACAGAGTAACTGTCTTTTTCTGCACTTTTTTTTGAGTGAGTAATTTCTGCAACACAAGTCACAAATTAAAGTGCTACATAAAATTTCAAATACTCTCTGAGGGCTTCTAGCGGACGTGCGCGGCATGACAGAGTGGGCATGCTGAGAACATAAAACAGAGACAAGTATAAAAAGAATCAAAGACAGAAAAAGTGGAGGGGGGTATGGAGCATGTGTCACAACAGGATGCTGGGTTTGTTGACAAAAACAAACAGTCCTGCACACAATGCACGTCAGTTGCACGTCATTCCAAACAGTACACAAACAGTGACGGTGGTGGAAAAGTAGGGGTCACAGCACAGTGAACAAGCTTTTCAGGAATCATCCCTGATAATAGTAGCTGATAGGAATTGACACTGTAAGGGTCTAGATGCTTGCACACTCTATATACAGTACTGAGAAAAATACTGAGTCACCCATCAATGTAAAGGAAATATATTAGGAGGTAGACTTTCTTGTAATTGTTTTAAAGTGGTCTTGAGCAATAGTTCTCCAGGCTTTCTGAAAGTCTTTCGAACCTTTTCTTTAGACATTGGCTACTGACCAATTTCAGGGGAATGTTTCTTTGTTGAACAAGCATTAACCAGTGAATGATTCAAGCATTTAAAAAAGATATCCAGCTCAAGGGATGAATCAGTGTTGTGTCTACACAGATAGCTTATCAAAGAATCCGTTTTCAGATTGTGTCTTTAAACACTAGCAGCTTGTTGCAAGAGAACTTACAAGTGATTCCCTATCAAATGAAAACTAATCTCAGCACGTTGTGCAGTGTGTCCCTACAAAATCTGAGGAAACTGGACAAGTGTAGGACAAACGTGGTAACAGGCCTAGAAAATGCAATCTACTGCATCTGAACAGTGTCTGATGTTCATAAGAAATAGGAAAAAAATCCAGCAAAGACCTAACTGGACTGGGTCTAATGGAATAATCAATCAGAATTTTTGTTCAAATCATCACTAACATGTACAGTGAGGTGAGGTGAGAAGGAGAACAGTGGATATGTACAGTCATCTGTAAATACTCATGGATAAGGCCCTGGAGATACTTCTCCACTTGGGGCACCAACAAATTCCAAATTTGGAATAGATACTCCACACTTTTCTGTCTGAGGTAGATGGCGTCACCTTTGGAAATGCTATTTCTGCTCTTAACTGCTCTACACTTGACTACATTCTGCCCCTTTGCAAGCTGAAGGTCATTACACAAATAAGCCAACAGAATCACATTTTCTCCAGAAAGCAGAGAAAAGATGCCAAAGTCCACCAAACCCTCCACTTATGGCTTAGTCACAGTAGAGTAAGAATACAACAGCTACCTTCTTGCGAGCAGGAAAAATCACCAGTTGTGATTATACTGAACTTTTTTCACATTCAGCGACAAAATGATTTCCCAGAGGTTGACAATGAAACAGCTTTAACCTCTGGGAGATCACATTGCAACGTGATTGCACAGGTCGCCTGGTGGGAGGCAACCTGCCTCTAAACAATCACAGTCAAACTCAAAGTGACAGCAGTCTGTCTCAGACAGGTTTGTAAATAAGTGCCTTCTCATTTATAAATGCAGACAGATTGCCAACACACTGCAAACAGCCTGACTCATTCTGTGCAACTAGTTCACGATGCATCTCCTTGGGAACTGGACTTAACTGGTTGCCAGATGGTTGTATTCTGATTATATTCCTAAATAAAAGAAAGCTTTTTTTAGTGTATTTCAACTGCAAACTGATAGCAGACTGACTCTGTCTTTCATTGCCATATTGAGACACCAAAGTTTCTTTAAACATGGCAACTGACTGCAAGTGGTTGGAGACCAGCTCCTTATATGTGTGTGCTTTTTAAAAACTTTCTTGACAGCTTTTCTTCTGTGAGAAATTTGGTCTCATTTGTTTAAAAAAAGAAGAACATTTTAACAAAAGGATTTGTACAAAATTGTTCATTCTCCTTTCTTTGTCACTTGTATTTCTCCAGACATGTCAATCCAAGGTGTTTGATCTATCTGATGGAGTGTCGCAGTACGCATGGTTCCCCTGTCGAGTGGCTGATTCAGCCTGGGGATATTATACATACTGGCTCAAGGTAACACCAATATCCATGAAATATAGTTCAGATGACACCTGAAAATTGCGCTTTTGGGTTGTGTGTTCTTTGTAATAATGTCAAACTGCTGTACTGATACTGACAAAGCTTTAGAGAGTAATCAGCATTAGACGCCTGGATTGGGAAAGTATCTGTGTATTAGATACTAAACAAATTAGGATAAATCTAGTTGTACACACAAACACAAACATGTGACTAATTTTACTTAACTTTGTGCTTTTCCCTTTATTCAGGCCCACTTTTCTCATCCCATGGTGGCAGCAGCAGTAATTATACACTTGGCTGCTGATGGGACTGGCTTCATTGATCAGACACAATGTAATATTACTGTTCAACTGGTGGACACCAAAGAGGGGATCCATAGCCTAGGTGAGAATTATCTTAATGTGTTTTCAAACTACTACTTACCTCTGTATCAGTCTAAGTGAAATGATGAAAGCATTCGTCATTTAGAACGCCGCCCCCTTAAGCATGTGTTGCTTTCATCCCTTTGTTTTGTAACTTGATTGGCTATGTCTCAGTTGGAACACGGTATCAGCTTTTCATCACCAGCTCCTTTGTAGGCCTCCTCTTCTTTTTGATCTTTGAGGTTGGTTAACATCTGCTTCTGTCCCCTACCTTCCCTATCTCGACGTCAATGCACAATGTTTTGTCTTCTGCTCTCGGCCCCAATATCCTCTCCACAGGTGAGTGGCGTCTAAGCTGTCGCACAAACCCTTTGGTCATCCCAGTGAGTCATGACCTGTCAGTGGCCTTTTACCACACCAAGGCTATCCTGGTGATGTTTTCCTCTCACCTCGTGGCCATCTCCGGCGTAGCCCTGCGTTCCTTCCAGTCTTTTGACCCCATCACAATAAGTGGCTGCCAAAGCAATGAGATCTACAACCCCACAGGACAGAGGTGAGGCTAAAAATATACAAACGTAACAGCGCTGTAAAAGATGCTAACATATTTAACACAGACGTCAGTTGAAAGCATGCGAAATCACATCATGAACATGTTATATCACACACACGCACGCGCGCGCACACACACACACACACACACACACATGCATGCATGTATAATTTACACTATAGTCAAGTGTTTGTATGTGTTTTGGAGGAATGCGGGTGCATTTATACTAGTTTTTAATTTATTAAACAAAAGAATAAGTCTTGTTTCTGAGTCACAGAGCTTGTTATGATATGTATTTGCTGTCAAGTCACATATTTATGCATACAGACAAATTGTTATTGCCCCCAAACAGCTCTCTTGGAATTTCTTTAAACATTCTTCAGGAAGAGTGCTCCAGGCTTTTTGAAGGACATTGAAAGCTTTACTTTGGATGTTGGCTGCCTTTTGTTGTGTTCAAGAAGATCCTGTACTGTACTTTGTGTTTTTCTATCCAGGTATGCTTTTACTGGATTGGGAGTGTGTTTGAGATCATTGTCATGGTGAAAAATGAAGATGTTGTGTTTAAGGTGGTATTGCAAATGGTACTGCATGGAGAATCAAACTCTGACCATACTTTATGTATTTGTAATTCTAAAACACACAACCCCACTGGCTGAAGTACAGCCACAAACCATGACTGAGCCTCCACCGTGCTTTACAGATGGCTGTAGCCACTCACTCATCATCTGTTGTCATAAATGAGTGAAAAAGGCAGCTAATGTCCAGAGAAAAACTTTGAAAGGACCCCCAGAAATCCTGGAGAACAACTACTTAAATTTATTTTTAAAAAAAATCTTGATCCTTTACTCAGTACTGCATCAAACAAGCCTTCCAGACTCCAAAGTATTTTCTTCTCTTCATATATTTTGTATAGATATGTTTACATATATATTCAGCACATGCTGTATATATATGTAAACATAAAAGACAAGGAGAACTAAAACCTGTATGTGAACATTTGAATCTGAAATGCATTAACTATGCAAGTTAATGAGAGTTCACAAGTGTAATATCCTTGGCAGTTCATTGGACCTCGTAACTTATAAATTTATAACCAGCTGCCAGCCAGGGTTCAACACTAACTTTTCGTTACAGTTCAATTTGCTGTTGTGTTAAGTTCCAGCTATTTTTTTCTTTGTCTTTTTTTTTTTTTTACAAAATCCAAAAATGTCTTTTCATCTGTAAATTTCTTGCATTGTTCAATAGGGCACTGAGGCTGCAAGCTGCGGTTTCTTCAACTCTAACTTTAAACTGGCCATCAATCAGGCATCAAATTGGAGGCCAAGTACAGAGCACCATTTCTAAATTGGAAATTATACCATGAGCTGCATAAAGATTCATAACAGCTGAAAAGAAAGCTTCATAATAATAATAACTGTAATAAAAGCCAATAAAGATGCTTACATCATTTTCAACAGCTGCTGGCTGAAACACCAAAACAGTTATTACCTATTTGGCTATAAAATAACAATTTTGAGTACCCACTCACAAACATACCTAAAGAAGACCACACACACAGTCAGAATTGATCAATTTCCACACCACCGTCATGCACGCAACAGTTCACAGGGACGATGATTCCACAAACCTTTCAACAAGAAATGCACTAATACGCACCACAATACCCAAAGAATGGATGGTCTGAAGTTCTGTGTGGAGAGATAGAGCTGTTTGTGGCTTTTGTTGTGTGCCAGTTAGACATCCAAGTGCACCTAAATAGATTAAAACTGCTGTGCATCTGCATCAGCCAGGAAATTGTTTGTTGCCGCACACAGAGGCATAGTTGCTTTCTCCAAGACTTTTTGCCGACTTTTCTTTCTTTCATATTCTCTCAACCTGATCTAATTTCCAGAAGCTCTTGAAAACACTGCTTATATGATGGCAAGCCAAAGAGACAATACCCACTTATCTTCAGAAGCTCTGAACATGCTACAAGCTGAATATGATAATATAGTGCAGCTCAGTGCCGTTTAGACATGAAGAATCCAGGCTTTCTGTTTTTGTGTCTTAAGTCTGTTTTTCTTTAATCAATACCAATTCATCATCTACATTATACTGTTTATATCCCACTTTGAAAGCTGCTTGTCTCTCTTCTACATTTTCTTTTAATCCCGATTCCCTTTCCCTGATTTGTTACATCTCTGCTCCTCCACTACTTCTGGTATCCTTTTCTGTCTTCTCATCCTTTACTTGCACATGACCCTCCTTTCCCTCTAACTGCCATCTTCTTCTTCTTAATTCTCCCCTTTTTTGTGCCTCCTGCGCCCACTTTCCTTCTCTCATTCTCCTGGGCTGAGCAGCATATTTCCCGTAATACTTATGCCTCCACAAAACACCACATCCCCTTTTTCCCTGAGTTGTTAACTACAGGAGCTATTAACATGACTCAGTTTTATGTCCCAAGCTTGTCTGCAAGAAAATGCGCGCACACACACACACACACACACACACACACACACACACACACACACACACATATGTATATACATATGTGTGTATATATTGGTTTTGTTTCAGTTTGTCACACATTTCTTCTCTTAACTTTTACACTCATCACCAGAGTGAGAACTCTTGGACTTTTATTTGTCCCCGCAAACAACAAAACAGAAAAAGAAACAATATTCACAAAAGTTTTTGTATAGTTCCCTCATTTCTCTTGAATTCTCCTTTCTGTCATACAAACTATTCCCCTGTGGTGTATAACGTATTCTCATTTGCAGGGAAGGAGGCTAGTTTTCCAGGTAGTTAATTGTAATTTATGTCATAAATTCCAGAGTGACTAGCAAAAAACCACAAAGAGATTTTGTTCAAAGCCAAAGAGTCCATGAAGCAGCTTCCTAGGTCTCCCAAGCTTGTCCTCAAAGAGTAGACGTAAGGGACCGCTGCTCTTGTGCTTTATAATTATTCTTCACCTGCTCAACGTAGCTTTTTGTCAACATGAGTTAACATACTGGGAGCAAAATAAGGGAAAAAATGAAGGGCATATGGAACAGTATATGTAAACAGAAGGCTTAGATTATTAACAATCTTGAGAAAGAAGGCATGCAGTGCAAAAAATATGTGGAATGAAAGCAGGTAAAATAAGACAGAAAAAAGAAAGATACAAATTCCATTGTTGCAGGACTGAGTTTAACAATGTTTCTCCAGATCTGTATTTTCTTACATACTTTCTCTCTCTTTTCGGTCCCCCACCCCCTCACAGACACGCACACATACACAATGACAGAGAAGGAGAGTGAAATACTTTTCCTTCTTTTCTTTCTTCACTTCATAGGGGAACCCTATACTACAGAATGCAGACTGTTGTAAAAAGGTGCCTTGGGCACCCAAGCATTCCAAGAGTGTTAAATGCCTTCTCCATCAGGATCCTAACAGAGCTGTGGTCAAACTGCACCATTGTAGCTTGCACAGCATCTATCCCGTTGTTCTTAATTCCCTAATATTCACACTCCGCTTTCATGTGCATTGCAGAATATGGCAGCCTTTTCTCCGTGTAGTTTATTGATTTGGTATGTTAAGTGGTCATTGATGGATGATGTGGCGGATTCGATGTATAATTTGTCTCTTTTGGAGCACTGCTTCCACGTTTCTGAGTTTGCAGTGCTATTATATTCACAAAAAATGTGTACGGTATTAGTGGTATTTTCAAATTTGTTTTATTTTTTATTTTTTTTAGCTTTGTCATCTCTGTTGTCTGTTCTTCTTCTTTAACACCCTCCCACCCCTGCCCCCACACACAATGCCTCGTAGTTGTGTACATTATTCGTGTGAGGCCATTGACTGCCAGGAACCCCGGATCCGCAATGCAGAGCAGTGCAGTAGCCCTGGCCACCACTTCTACAATGGAGACCGCTGCACCATCTCCTGCAACTCTGGATATGTCCTGCAAGTCCACCAGGACGATGACATCATCAAGAGTCAGGTGAGCATACAAACACACTGCTGCACACATGTTTAACTACGTATAGGCAGCTACATAGCTCATTTCACACAGAGAAACAAGAACGCATAAACATACAACGCAAGCATTCAAGTGCAAAAATGTCAGAGCTTTTGTGTAGTTACTGGAAAATGCATGCACACATGAAGCCGTCTATGCATATTCAAACAAGCTTTCATGTAAACTCAAATACACAAATGTCAATAAGACAAAAGTGCAAACAAACGTTCTTTCTGTTCTCTTCTCTGTTTATGGATTTACTTTGTCACCTGCAAAAAAACAAACAAAAAAACATGCTTGGCACAGTAACCCTCCAGGGACAATGACATCATAATCTTCCAGGTAGATGAGTGCTGCACTGAAAAGTGGAGCCCCAGTCTTCTCCTTTTTCTAGTTTACTACACATAGACATACAAAGACACATCCACACGCACACACAGACACATGGGCGCGCCACACGCACATGCATTAAACAAGCACAGACATAAAAGTGTTTAGTCTCTTGCTGAGCATGCTGCACCATCACCTCAAACAGTCACTTTGTATTTCTGGTCCACTGGGATGATGACATCATAGCATAGTGTCTGCTCGCTCTCTCTCGCTCCCTCCCTCCCTCTCTTTCCCTAGCGCCATTCCTGCTCATTCTGCACACATTGAAGTCTCTGTTAAAAGGCAGAGATTTGCTGCCACTGTCACAAAGCAGCACATATTAAATGCTTCCATGCAGATACCAACAAACAAACAGTCAAGTACAAGGAGTACAAGGAAATCTCTTTGCATGGAGATGTGGGGAGATACAGTACACACACACAGATGCTTGCACACCACACATAAACAAATGATCTGGGTAGTTTACACCACATTGTAAACCTTTTGGATTTTGACCAAGATGCAATAAAGGCCATATAAATGCTTTATCCTTCTCTATGGCTTTGTAAAGCTGTCTGCAAAACAATCTATTAATGCTCTCTTAGAGAGATGGCACATGTGTATTGTAGCCTGGAGAAAAAGAAACAGTACTCGCCTGTACTGTATGGTATGTTTGGGAGCTGTATGTGGAGCATGAATTAAGACAAGAAGGAGAGAGAAGCAAGAGCGGATTAAGGGTATAAGAAGGGTTACACATAATTGCTTTTCTGATGCGTGGTCTGGACTCTGACTTTAATATTGCTAAAGATACTTCTTCTGTTGGTTGTTCCACATGTTGTGTGCAAGCTGTCCTAACTGGACTGGTTCTAGTACCACAAAGTAGTTTACTCATGTATGCACAGAAATAATGTGTGTGTATGTAAAAAAAATCCATTAAAAGCTACTGACATACACATTTTATGTACAAAACCTTGGAGTTGATTTTTCTTTGCAGATTTATAATTGCATTATATTTTGATTGACAATGCACAATCTGTCTATTCACCCATGTCAGTTCGTTTAGTGATAATTTATGCTTTTAAGAAAAGGAGAGGCAAAAAAGTATGCAGTAAGTAAGCTGTTATGGAAGCAGAAAGGACAGAAGAGGAAGTAGGAAGAGTTTTATGCCAAATATTTTCTTGTGTAGTACTTTGAGTGTTTGCCACAAATGATGATTGACAGTTCAAAGATATTACAAGGACTTGTTATTTATGAATAACTTTTGTATCCATTCAGCCAGATGAAAGGCATGTGCTCAGTTTTGTAGATGTAAAATGAGGATGTGGAAGTTTACCCTAATTAACTTAAATAGAATTACGTAGATTTTCTGAAATCTATACTGTGTAATCTAACTTAATGATTGTAATATAAACATGTATATATTTTACATTTTTTCTTCTTTCTTTTTCTCTGACCTTTTCTCTAGTGAAGTAAAGTGAATCAGCTTTTTGAAAAATAATATTTGAGCACATTTTATAGTGGTATAAAGTAAAAGCAAAATTGTGGCAGATGGTTTCTAGTTTGGTAGCCTCAGGACCAGCTGACTGCTTTTTTACTGATATGGTCCTTCTAGTTCCTTTGAGTGGTGACCTCTAACACATGCTGTGTTGGTTTTCAGTCAAGTGTTAATCGACAGGGATAAGAATTAGCACTTTCAAGTCTTAGGCCGTGGTTCACAGCGAGGAAAGGGTACCCACTCTGGGTTGGGGGAGGAGTTGCAGCCCCTAGGGGAAGGGGACAATGGAGTGTGAGATTAACATACGGATTGATGTGGCATTTGTTGGGATGATAAGAGCTGAGCTTGAAGCTGTGAAGCTGGTAAATCTATATTCTAACCCTCACCTTTGTCCACAAGCTAGGGACAGTAACTCAAAGAATGAGATCCAGGATACAAGGGATGGAAATTAGTTTTCTGTGTTTGGTGTCTGGGCTTAGTCTTGGCCATAGGGTGAAGAGGGAGGGGCTCAGAGTAAAGCCTGGTGGAGGTGATTGAAGTGAGGGGTGTCTGAGCATTTTTGCTTAGCCCTGTGACTCTGACCCAGATGTGGATGGATAAATTGTCCATAATAGAAAGTATGTTGGATCTTTTAAAAGTAGTAGGCCAAGGTCTGATCTTTGTGGGACTCCACAGAGAATTTGAATTAATTTTTTCCCTCCTGGATTATCAGTCACTACAAGTCGGATGAGAATGTAGTCAAGAAAGGAGAATATGTGAATTTGTGAGATGGAAAACAGACATTCATGAACAGATGCAAAATTTACTATAAATACTTGAATATGAAAACATGAATATGAAAGAGAGACATATCCCTTTTTTTACTTTTCTTTGAAGAAAGATTCTACTTGAATTAGCCTTTGGGATCAATCAGTCTCAGATATGTTTTTTTTTTAAATTCCAATAACATGAAGATAGAGGTGATACAGTTCATGAGTTCTCAAAATAAACATTCTTGTTTTATTAGTATTTTCATTTTGATTGTTGTCAGCCCTGAGGACACCACCACTGCTGAGGTAACACTAAAGTTTCGATAAAAGTTATCAAAACTGTCCATGAGCATAGAAGTCACAGGTTCTGGCTGCAGACAGTCCTATTAAACATCTATTAAAACATCTTTTGAGCTCTGGGTATTTCACAAAGATTTTATACCACCCAGCACTTCCAAATGTTCTGGGTGGAACTGGAACCGGAAAGCTTTAATCCCAGGAGACATGTAAAATACTCTCAAAAAGTATTTGCCCCCTTCCTGATTTCTTATTAATTTACATATTTGTCACATATGAATGTTTTAGATCATCAAATAAATTTTAATATTAGAGTAAGACAATCTGAGTACTTACAAAATGCTGTTTTTAAATGATGATTTATTTTGTCGAGGGAAAATTCAAACCTACCTGGCCCTGAGTGAAAAAGTAATTTTCCCTATTGTTAAATCATGAATTAACTGTGAATAACACATCATGGCACAATCTAAAGAAGTCATTTCAGAGGCCATGTTGAGAGCCATTATTTACAAATGGAGAAAACTTGAAACAGTGGTGAATCTGCACAAGAGCAGTCCCAAACTTACTCCAAGAGTGGATCGATGATGGGTCAAAAATGGCATATATGGGAGAGTTCCAAGGACAAAACCTCTGAAGACCAAAAAGAACACCAAGGCTCTTCTCACATTTGCCAAAAATTGATTGGCTTACAGAAGATAGGCAGGGAAATAGTTGGGCCATTTGATGACAGAAACCAGTTTGTGAAAAATCGGAAGTGATGTAAAGAATAGTCTAACGGGCCGAATACCCAGGAATATAGGCAGATGAGTGAAGAGAGATTGTCCTTATTGAACACAAGCGTCTTTACTACTTTCTCGATCCATTTCAAAATATATTGCAGCTTTGCAATACCTTGCAAAATAGTCTCACAGCAAATAAAATGCACTATTTACTTGAAGCATTACTGCAAATGATCAGTTTTGACATAACTCTAATTAGTTTTAACAGTGGAATGCAACTTTATGAAGGTGTTTGATTGCAAGTTATACAGTCCAATCAGGAGTATAACTTTGACTCCAACGGCAACACAGCTGTAACCTAAACTGTACAACTGCTGGATATAATTGGTAAAATAAAGCAATTCACATTCAAAAGAAAGACTGGGCACATCATGTCTTAAATGTAATAAACGAAATGTGCTTCGAGTCAAAGCGCTGGTAATAAAATGGTCTGGCCAGATTCATAGTGCTCATATGCTCTCATCTTTTTTTCAGCTGCACAGTCCTTGCAAAGACACGCACACCTCCACACTAAGGTTGAAAAGTGCAATGTGAAGCATAATCTTGTCTCATTTCATTAGCCGATTACATTCTTGGTTCACTGATGTCAAAGCGATTCTGGGAACACCAACTTCTTACATAATACTATCTTCAGAACAAATCTGTTTCCCTCACTTGCTTGATTTGTATATGTGTCTTTTATTCCTGTCTGTTTTTCAAATCTTTCTCTTGCTTTGAAGTGGTTAGGGAACACTGTGTGCTGGTACTGAAGAAGTCACATCTATTTTATATAGGCATTCCCTTTTACAGATATGACCATTCCCTGCCATGAAACAGCGTTTAGGTATCTGAATTAAAATAACCCCATCGCAAGTCACCATCTGATAAAAAAGATAATCTCAATGAAGTAAAGTATCTATTATCCTAAATTCATATACATATACAATGTTGTTGTGGACAACACGCTGTTGTGGTGGTTAGCACTGTTGTCACAGCAAGATGGCCCTGGCTTCAAATCCAGGCTGGGCACTTTCAGCGTATTCTCTTTGTGGCTTCTCTCTGGGCTCTCTAATATCCTGTCATAGTATGTATGTTTTTATACATAAGTTAGGTCAATGGGTAACCCTGAATTGTTCATAGGTGCAAATGCTTGTCTGTATCTCCTGGTTAGCCCTGTGACAGACTGGGGGCCTGTCCTCGTGTCACTTACCCTGTAACCTTTTCTTTTTGTAAATATTAATGGTAATAGCTAGGTGTGCCCCTTCGGTCAGTTGTACACACAAGAGATCTAACCCTCAACTAAATCTGTGTTCATCAAACAAACAAACATGTGCTTGCTATTGGCCCAACAAGGATGTGAGCATGTAAATCCCTTTATAGATTCTTAGGAAAACCTTGTAGATCAAAATGTTGCCTGTAAAATTAAAATCACCCTGCTTGTTGACATGTTACGCTGAAATGCTCCTCACACTTATAAAATATGGGGTCTATGGGTTTCTGACTAAAGTTACATTCTCAGTAGCACGCTGCTGTTGTGACCACACCGTTATCCAGAATCATTTGGGCAACCATTCGCTGATATTGCCAGTATGAATATTTCACAAATACAACCTTTGATTCTTAGAACAGGATTTTCACAAAAAAATGTTTTATAAGAGGTTTTCCGCGAGGACTGACACATAAATTAGACTTAATTCTTAGTAATTCTACTATTTATCATTGCAGATCTATCTTCCAATTAATGTTCAACCATGCTATAATTTGCTTGTTTGCCATCTATAAGAAGACAAATCCCTAAGTTGAGGAAGGGGTTGTCTGCTGGTTCATTTGTCTGTAGGTCTGTCTGGCTTGAATTAGGAAGCATAGCCAAGGGTTGTTAAAATCGCTACTGGAAGAGAAACAGGCAGCTGTAAATTTTTTAAAGGAAGGAAAATTCCCACACATTTACACACATAGTAGCACACACAAACACAAACCTACATATATACTCACTTTAGAAAGTGCTCTTCCCTTTTTGCACACCTAGCTGTCTTGTAGATTTTTATTATTAGTCTATTTACAAATGCTCCTCACACTTATAAAAGATCAAAAGAATTAAGAGGAAAGTATTTGACTCGTTGTTCTGAAGCAACAGGTCTGTGCTTTAGGTCATTGTTATGCTGGGAGGTTTAGGACCCCCTTCGCCCCATGTCATATCCACCTGGGGTGAAACCCTTTTCAAGAATCTCTCTCTACTTTATCAATCACTCTTTCACCAGTGCCCCTGTCATAACAGGAAGTTTCCACCGCTTTGACCAAAAACATCACATTTATGGAATATCTTCATCTTGCTCTGAGGCCTTTTCATACCAGACTCTAAGTGGGCCCTTATGTGTGTTTTACTCAACTCTCTCTGGCCACTTTACAGAAAAAATTAATAAAAAGACCTGATAGATGGAGTCATCCTGAGATGGTCATCCCTCTGTCAGATTTTCCCCCATGTTTGCACAGCATTTTTGAAATGCTGTTTTATTGATAGATGGGTTCTCTATCACCGCCCTCACCAAAGCACAAACACATCTAGGTAAACGTGTGTGTTTATGTGTATTTGTATGTGTAGGGTGTAGTATTGACCACACTTGTGAAGTGCATATTAGCTCGTACCTTATCCCACACATGCACAATTTTGCAAGTGTACTTAAGATTTTCACATATTTTAAAAGAGATGTTTCAATGTTGCTTCTATGGTCCACATTGCTTCTCCACAGCTTCACATCTCAACTGACTCATTCAACTCTTCACCCAGTTGTTTTCCAGAAGGCGCTCACATGCAATGCATATGTTACCTTGTTGGACATCCAAATATGAAAGGAGCTTATTTATTTTGAGGGAACCCGATACTGTTACACAGTATCATGTAACGGGATCGAGATGAAAGACAGATATACACGGAAACAGAGAGAAGATTATGAAACAATACATTTGTATTGCCAGCTGAGTCCAGTTTGTGTTGAAGTTTGGCCTCGCTTTAAAAAGATGTGTGTAATTAAAGTCAACCAGTGTAATTGATGGGTTACCCACACAGGTTTCTCTTCTGGTTCTGAGAATAAAAAGTCAAAAAGATTGAGCTCTAACAGCTTTGTTGTGAGCTTTCTTGGCACGACTATCGATTTAAACATTCCTGTTGGATTACATGGTTCTACTTAATGGAAGAGGATAAAAAAAAATTGAGGGTTAACCCATTCAGATAAATTTCGTCTCATCTCTGAAAACCTCACACTACAAGCCAAATAACTAGAGCAATGAGACCTATTTTTAATAGAGAATAAACCTAACACGAGGAAACTTTTCTAGTTTAAAAAAAAAACAGTTAGAAAGGATTTTGAACTATTCTGATTGCCCTGTCAGTTCTCAGGAGTTCATATACAAGAAAATATTGTTTTCTAATGCTATATTCTCTAGACAATATTCTTCCCTTGAACAGAATGGTTTCACATAGCCATGTGTAGAGTGTGTCCACACACACACACACACACACACACACAATAAATGCAAAACGTCTGGCAATTGAGAAGTAATTTACCTTAATGATAATCCCTTATACTGGAACCTTTATCTTGCTGGCTATTTAAGCATGCCTCTGTATGAAATAGTGGAGCTATGCTGCCACTGCTGGGTTTGCTCTTGTTTGAGTCTGTTTCTTGTGGATTTTGCATGTTCTCCCCATGTGTGGATTTCCTCTTGGTTCTCCGGTTTCCTACCACATTCCAACAACATGTAAAGGCCCAGGCACACAGGATGCCCTCTGTACTCTTTCAAAAGTTGGAGAGGCTGCCTTGATTTTCAGAAGGGAGCAACGGAAAGCCACTTGTTCCTATTTGTTTATGAAATTACAAACTCAGTAAATATGAAGTAACCTTTCTACTTTTTTCCCCCTTTGATTTTGTACTATTTCCAGCATATTGTTTATCTCTTACCTAAATATAATAACGACTTTCTTATGTTTTGTGACTACACATAAATTCAGAAAGAGGATGAATAATGGATGTAGACTAAACCCACAGGGGTTTGCCTTCTATTTGTAGAAGACTTTATGTGCGTGCGTGTGTCTGTGTGTGTTTCTCAGCTGTCACACTTCCACTGAAGTCAATCTGTTTAGGGTTAGGGCTGATTGTGCAGTTGCTGGATATCAGTTGTCTGAAGTACATGACTTGACCTTACAAATGCTATCAGCAGTCACTTGAGCTGCTGAGTGGCCTGTGAGGCTTACTGACATACAGTAAGCTAAGCCCGATCAGGCTTTGTTAGGTTACACGCTGATTAGGAACTTGTTGAAATGATTGCAGAATTGCTGTAGTCATTTTTTTGTGAGGTAAACATTTATAGGACAAGTGCACTACATCAGTCTGTCGCATCAATATGCACATTAAAGCTTGCATCAATGAATATTATTATATATCTATGTAGACTATGTTGTAAAACTTATATTTCTTTATTTGTTATTTACTTTGTGTTATATCATGTCTTGTTTTCCAGTCAGAGACTTCAGTAACAATAACTTGTGCAAATGGGAAGTGGAACAAACAGGTATCATGCGAGCCTGTGGACTGTGGTTTACCAGACAAGTATCATGTTCATCCTGCCATTTTCAACTTTCCAGAGGGCACTACCTATGGCAAAAAGAGCACATTTCAGTGTCGAGAACCTGCCCAGCTAATGGGTGAGTTGCCTAGCGGAGCACTGACATATCCATATTTACAGGGTACCCTTCAGAGATCTTTTCCAATAAATATATACACCCGCTGGTCACTTTATTAGTTACACTTGTTGTGTTTGCTAATGCTATTATCTAATCAGTGACTTTGAACATGGTTTGCAGAGAATGGACCAAAAAAGAGAAAATATCCAGATAGCAGCTGTTCTCCTGGCACAAAAGCGATGGTGCCAGAGGTCAGAAACAAAAAAGAATGGCTAGGCTGGTTTTAGCTGATAGAAAAGCAACAGTAACCATGAAGCAAATGGGCTACAGCAGCAGAAGACTGCACCAAGTGTCACTTCTGTCAGCTAAGAACGGGAAACTGAGGCTATGATTCACACGGGCTGAACAAAATTAGACAATAAAACACTGAAGAAACATTCCCTGCTCTAATGAGTCAGGGTTTCTGATGTGATACTCAGATGGTAGGTTCAGAATCTGGTGTAAACCAGATAAAAGCATGGATCCGTCCTGTCTTGTATCAGTCGTGTAATGGTGTGAGGCTATTTTCTTGTCACACTTTGGGAGCCTTAGTACCAACCAAAGCCTACCTGAGTATTTGTTGTTGATAATCTCCATCCCTTTATCATGACGGTGTAATCATCTTCTGTCAGCTGCTTCCAGTATTTGACATTGACTTTTGAAAATTAGCACCGTATCACAAAATGATCTCAAATTGGTTTCTAGAAGATGACAATGAGAAGAATCTCTGAAGAATTTTTCTGGCACTTTGTTGAATCTATCCCATGAAGAATTAAAGCAGTTCTGAAGGTCAAGGGTGGTCCAACCAGATGCCCCACACATGGATCCCGAATGCCTAGATCTATACAGAATCAAAAGGAACCTAAGAGCCTTTATCATGAACTAAATGTGGATTTGGCCAACTTCAAGCCAATAGCATCAAGTGCAGCATCTACCAAGGAGATCCTTTGTCCCCAATGGTCATTGACAAGACTGGCTACAGATACTGACTATGGAATGGAGCAATCATCAGCCGCCTCCTCTACATGGATGACATCAAGCTGTACGCTAGGACTGAATGAGACATTGTTCACTGATCCACACCACCAGGATCTACAGCAACATCATTGGAATGTCATTTGGACTAGATAAATGTAGTCGGATGGTAACAAAGAGAGGAAAAGTAGTCAGAACTGAGGGAATTGCACTACCAGAAGGGAACATTGCAGACATTAAGGACGGCTACAAGTACCTGGGAATTCCACAGGCAAATGAGAACCACAAATGAGAAATGGAAACTGCAACCACCAAATACCTGCAAAAGGTCAGGCAAATCCTGAGAAGTCAGTTGAACTGGAAGAACAAGATCCGTTTTATCAACAGCTACACCCTGCAGGTTATCAGGTTCTCTGCTGGGATAATAAGCTGACCAAAGGAGGAGATAGAGGCCACTGACATCAAGACAAGGAAGCTCCTCACCATGCATGGAGGGTTTCACCCCAAATCCAGCACCCCAAGACGTAACACTAAATGTAAGGAAGATTTGGGGAGTGTCAGAATCACTGTCCAGGATGTGACAACAAACATCCATGAGTACATAGGAAGATGGCCACAACCAAGGATGATGGCCAGAGCTAGCAAAAGAGCCCTGCATGGTGACATCCAGAAGTCCTACCAGTGGCTGGACAAAGCTGGACTGAAAGATGGCGCAGAGGCACTAATCATGGCAGCACAGGAACAAGTTCTGAGCACAAGATCCACAGAGGCTGGGGTCTAGACAGACAGACAAACTGGTGATAGATAATCACACGGACATAGTAGTGGTGGACGAGCAGAGGAAGACAGCGGTAGAGATAGATGAATGATGAAGAAAGTAACAAGTAACCAAGTAACAGAAATATAAGGAAGAAGGAACATGAGAAGCTGGAGAAGTTTCAAGGGAAAAGAACTCGAGAAGATATGGAGTGGGGAGGTCACAGTGGTCCCAGTGGTAATCGGAGCACTTGGTGCTGTGGCCCCCAAGCTAGGCGAGTGGCTCCAGCAGATCCCAAAAACAATATTCGAGATGCGCAGTCCTAGAAACAGCAGAGATACTGTGCAGGACCCTCAAGCTCCCAGGACTCTGGTAGAGCACCCGAGCTTGCAGGATAGAGTGCCCACAGGGGCAAGAGGGGATGTTCTTGCTAATAATTTTAGAGGTTTCTTCCCACTGATTGCCAAGGAACACAGAAAAGACCCTTAAACTAAGACCACCTTTTTTCAAACAACCTCAAATTTGGCTTTGCACTACAACTCATAGTTTTGAAGCCGACTGCATCTGATCTGACCTAGTTTTACTGATTCACTGACCTGTATGCTTTTCCATTTATCCTTTTCTTTTTTGTTTCTCTAGGTACAAACAACACGCTTACCTGCCTCGAGGATGGTCTATGGTCCTTCCCAGAGGCTCTATGTGAGCTTCGTTGCCCAGCCCCTCCTCTTGTACCCAATGCTGTGCTGCAGACAAAACGTTGCCAGCAGTCAGACTTAAAAGTTGGCACACTCTGCAAGTACAAGTGCAGGCCAGGCTACCATGTTACCAATAAACCCAAGCGGTAAAGAAATAAACTGAAATTTTTTTTGTTCATTTTTTGCTACTTTGAAACTTTGTTCCCACATGAAATTAGGGTCTGCACGTGATTCAATTAATCATCTCTCTTTTCCTTTTAGGCGTGCATTCAAACGCCAGTGCACAGAAGACGGCACCTGGCTCGAGGGATCTTGCGAGCCCGTGACTTGTGATCCTCCACCTCCGATCTTCCATGGCTCCTATAACTGTACCAATGGGTTTCGTTTTGACAGTACCTGCACCCTAAACTGCTCTGACCCTGCTGGTAATACTGCTATCGCCGGCACAGGACGCTCTGCCCATACGGTGAGGCTGCTGCACCCTACTTGCAAGCAGGTCTGTCCATCTCTTTCCTCTCTGTCTATTCTTGCTTTGCCAGTGTCCTTGTCTTCTCTTTTTTTCTCTTCTTTGCACCCTCACAGTTCTTTTTTGTTTTGTTTGTTCAGCATAACTTAGTAATAAATAATATAATCACAGATAAATATAGTGCATTTAAAACAATTTGTACCACCAGGCTGATTCTCCAGGATTACTGGTAATGTTGTTTGTTTGGAAATCACTACAGACAAATTGTTATTAATATACTCTTGTGTAATATCATACATAATTACTAATGACCAATGATAATGTACTAAATTAACGAATTAATGACTGAAAAATAAGATACAGCCTTTATCCTGGCTGTTTTTTTCTGATACGTCTTTCTCTGCCCTGCCTGCTTTTCTCCCTGTCTCCCTTAGCCCTACTCAATTTGACGCCATGCTAATTAGATTGCTATTGATTTCCAGAACAGCCCTGCTGCCACAGACTTTTGAAATGTATACACCTTTTAATCTGTTCTGCCTCTTCGACGTTGTGGGTTGGATGCCTACTAAAAATTGGATTGTATTTCCCTGTACAGTGGCATGGCATCTCAGTGTCCTTGGCCTAGTAGTGTTTGTGCACCTGTGTGTATGTCTGTATGTGTATAATTATTTGTCTGTCAATATATGTGTTATTTTCAGGGCAAAGGGTCCAATGAGATCCGCTGTCGAAAAGATGGGAATTGGACAGGGTCGTTCCGCCTGTGCCCACACAGCCAAGGCCAGTGTTCTTTACCTCAAAACCTCCATTATAGCCTGCAATACTCATGCAAACGAGGACACGGCATAGGTCTGTATGCACAAATCTACTGTTACTTAATGCTTTTTTTATACTAGGTTCATCTTTCACACATTGCCAAACCATTGTGACATAGTCTCACAATGGTTTGGCAATGACGAGGAAAATAAATCTCGGCATTCGTGGTGTTGATCTTTCATTAGTGTAATTCTCTCTGTCACTTTGTCACACAAACAAACACAGGTGAGGAGTGTGAGCTGACATGTAGAGAGGGGAACAACGATGTTGTGATCCTCCCTCACAATATGACCGTAGGAAAAGTAATGAAGGAGCACTGGAGAAATCCACCTAAGTTGAAGGTAAGTTTGCATGTGTTTGTGTGTGCCTCACAGCTCTGAGAGACGCACTTCACGAAGTTCTGTGAAGCACAACTCTTCTCCTTGGAATTTCACATATAGTTCCTTGATCCTGACTCCATCGCTTGCAATGCAAAATGCCAACCCAATGCCATACAAATATTTGGATTAGAGGCATAGCAACCTTTTAAAATTTATTCTTGACAACAAGTATGAAAACCTCCTGCTGCCCACTTTCCTTTCAGTCTTCAAGATGATATAGTAGTAGATATAGTGGAGAGATAATGAGGTACAAGAACTTTATTCCCAAGGTGTAAAGATTTTTTTCTAAATTCCAGTGTATTTGTCTTGCTGAAGAATTGTTGTGAGGCACTTGTTTTCACCCTCACTGCCACTGTGACCAACCTTATTCATTCAGGTTAATCACTGTTAAAGAACACTGAAGCTCACTGGTAATTGGCCTAATTTAGATATACCTTACAGCTACTTAAATAATAAAGTGTTCTTTTTTTGGCAGATAGCAAAACACAGAGGTAGGAGGCTGTGGTGGAGAAGGTCACATAGCACAGGACCGTACATTTTGTCTCTTTTGGGGCTCTCCGACACAACCATGGTGTCATTTGAGATATTCATGAAGATTATGGTTGAGGTCAGCAGCTGTGTAGAGGTACAGCTGGACTGTGTGTGTTGTCTAAATTCTAATTTTACTCTCAAAATGTATCAATGCCACAAATGTTGAATCTGCCTTAAGTACTTTTGTCAGCTTAATGCCCTTTTAGCTGTAGAACAAGAGACAGGTCTTACTAAATAGCATCGAGTTTTGAAACTAGAGAAGTCGCGCCTGACCAAAAGAGTACATTTTATTTTTCTCTTTTTTTTTTCTCCGACAACACCTTTTGTTTCTGTTTCAGAGTCACACTGAGTCAGCAGTTGGTGGTGGATGCCGGGGGAGGGGTGGGTTAGGCCATGTGGACACGAAATGATCTGCTTTTATGGATTTGTGTAATTGATATGATTTGTGCTCAGGGGTAATTTCAAACCTGAGGTTATGCTGTTGGGTCCATCTGATAGTGTAAGAGAAGTCAGAGAAGTGATGTTGGTAGGATGACTGTTAAAGAGTAGGAAAGTGTGTTGAGGATAAGCGGTTAGAAGAGGTAAAGCTTTCAAGGTAATGACCACAAGTCTAAGCAAGTGTAATGTTTTGTTTTGTCCCTCCTTCTGCCAGCTCATCCTGTGTTGATATATCATAATTAATGCGAGCACACAGTCTCATCCCGAACATATACACGCAGTCATAAGCAGCTACCGTAGCATCTAAAAGGGCTAACAGAAATTTGCCTTATGGCACAGGAGTGGCCAGGGGTGATCGTAAATGATAAGAAATCAGTTTATATTCCTCCTAATGACTAATGGTCCTAGTCTGGCCACCCTATAAAAATGGTCTGCCACTCGTGTGGCAAGATGTTCCCAATGGTAGCATGTTAGATTTGCGATCACATAATTGTCATAGTGCTATTACTGACATTAATGGTGAACCTTGTTCCTACTCAGTTAATTCTAGTATCAAAAAAAAAGATGAAAAATAAAACTGAATGACCACCCAAGAGATAAGGATGCAAAAACACAGAAATACAAGATAAAAAGGGTTTTAACAAAACAGAACAGAAGGATACTGCAGTAGTGGGAAGTGAAAAATAATAATAGTCATGGTGAAGGCTAACAGTTGTAATAACACCAGGAATGCTGTAAGTAGGAATTGGCAAACTATCCCTAGAGGGTGGAATTCTTCATGCACCATCTACAAGAGAATTAATGTCCCCACTTTCTAGTTCTACTTTGCTGAGCTGGAAATCAGCGTTGCCCACCTTAGTAAGTGATGTTGATTTATTGCCTTTAAACTAGTTGTATTTTGGTTCTTAGTGTGACCCACTTAGAATTCTCTCCTCCTTCTTTATCTCCACCTTCCCTCTTTCTTTTCCCTGTCTCTCTATCTATGACTACTCTGTGCCCTCAGCACCCTCCTCCCCCTTTATCAGCAAAATTACCCTGTCGGGCTTACTGCAGAATTAGTCATTTTCTATATGACATGACCTCTTCTGTGGTGGTGCTGAGATAGGGATCTATTTTTATGTGGTATCAGTCCCCTGGGGAGGCTTCAGAGGGTGAGGATCCCATACGTAGTGAGGGGTGAGGCCAGGCTACAATCATGGATTATCATGATTTACGACATTGCAGTGAGAGGAAAGAGAGAGAGAATGAGAGAGAAGGGGAGAGTTTCTAGATGACATCATCACTGTAGAGCACAAGAAGGAAAGAAAGAAAAAGTACAGCATTTGCAAAAAGTTTCACCTGTAATATAAAATAATGTTCTCAGTATTCCACCGTATATACTGACCATTAGAGCCCTTCCCTGTAGACGCACAGGCATACACACACAAGCAGGCATGTCTGGACTCAGCTATGCAGTACTATATCACAGTAGTAGAAGCATCACTCTCACAGCTCTCAGTTGCCCTCAGATGCTATGTTGTTGATTCTCTCCACCTTGAAGCCTGTATCTTTCTTTTTGCATTGATTTGCTGACACGACTGTAATGAAAAATACCTTAGTTTGCAGCAACAAAAGAAAAGAATGTCAACTTTGTGAGATATTGGGGCACAATGGATCTGAAAAATGGACCAGCTGAGGTCAGCGGGGTTTTGCTGCAAATGGTGCTTTTGGTCATGGCCAGTACTATATAAGCTCGATTTACATATCCTATAAGCAAAGCATCTGTTTGCCTGTTCACGTACAAATTCCCAACATGGGACACAGACTTTATGAGGTCACAGTCGTGAAATTAAAAATGCCCTTTCATCGTCATGTAACTATTTACACCCTTTACACCCTTATATTCTTGTACAGTGTATGCTTAGAAGGGTGCATTAGCACATATAGCTGTACATTCAGTGTACACATTGCTGTCCACCTGCCCTGAGCACAAATGTGTTCTGCTGCATTTCAAAGAGAAACACAGCAGGAGAATAGAATGGGATTCCACACATTCTGCAAAGATATTAGATAACATGGTCCTCTTACCTCTGTGATTCTGTCTTTCTCATGCTTCCAGTTCCTTATCCTCCTGGGGGTATGACTAAGTTATAAAAAACATTTTTTTTAAGTTATGTCTTTTAAAAATCAATTTACTCGGTTTCAGTGTAAAGCAAAGGAGGCTTCACAAAAAAGCTTCTATGAGTAGCACATGAGCTCTTTTGATAACGTCTATGTTTCCCTGTCTTAGGGGTGTGTCCGTGCACAGCTTAAATGTGCCCATTGAGTTTAGTACGGTTAGGGATTATGTGGCCTGAAATCTGGGAAAAAAGGACAAACTCCTGGCAGGAAATAAATTGTACAGAGCAACTTTTCAAGCGTCAGTGTTTCTTTGTTTCAACCCACAAATGTTGATTTATCTTACAGAGTATTATCTGTACAATGGGGCTGAAATGGTATCCACACCCAGAATTCCTCCACTGCATCAAAGGATGTGAGGTAAGGCATACAAAAATGTAATTTTCATACCTACTTTCTTGACTCAAACACAGGATATATGGTGTTTTAAGCTTTCGGTACTACCTTCTGTACTTAGTCCACCCTGAATGCTTATTAAGAATTAAGAGGGTACGTAGCAATCAGGTGCTGCTGATCAAATGCACTTGATTAATTGCTCATCAACAAGTGAGACTGGAGCTTTCAGATGTGTGCTAACACAATGCTGCAATCTACTTATAACTGGACATCCGAGCAAATTCATCCCAAGGTCAGAATGTTAAAATTCATAACAGTAGAATTAGAAAAAAGCCTGAACAAGTGTGGCTTGTTTGGAAGGGTTCCTGGGCAAATATGGAACAGCTTAGGGGTGGTGATTTGGGCTTGTTTTATAGACACAGGACCTGGACAGTCACTAAGTTGACCGTAAACTTCTCTCCATAGCAAAGGATTCTAGAATCAAATGTGAGGCCTGTGAAACACCAAAACCTTTCCCAAGACTGGGTCATTCAACAGGACAATGATCCCAGGAATAGTAGCAAATCTACCACAGAATGGCTGAAAAAAGTAAATAATCAAGGTGTTGATTATATCTGCAAATGTTGATTAACTAACATAGTTCTGTAAAGAAGAGTGGGCCACATTTCCTCCAAGTCTAAAAAAGTGTGATAAAATCATATTATCATATTACTTGAAATTATTATTTCAAGTAATAATGGTAAAGGTGATAAAGGTGGATATATATGCTACTAAATCATGTTGTATGGTTAGAGTTTAACAGAACTGGAAAGAGTCCTGTGAAAACTTTCTTTTTTACATCAGTGTAGATGAGTTATAAGTAAAATCCTCAGACAATAGTTGAAGAAAGAAAACCAAGCAAGTCCATAATGAGCTTTCTTCCTTCTGGGACATATTGCTGTTATTAACAACTCTGCACAGGGACAGAAAACATTAGGCACTCACAAGTCATTTAAACATGTTGCTGATATACAGGTGTCTCTTATCAGACTTATATATAAGGTCCATTGAAGAGCTATTAACTAGCTATAATCTGGTGTAATGCCTCCTGAAATAATTTACACACATGACTGTGTCATTATGCTATGTTTTTCCCTCCATTAATGGGGCATTCACAAGTGAATGCAACATCTGAAGGAATTCCACCTTACTTCATGGAAGAATGATATCATCCACTCATTTTGGCCAATTGGATAACCTGATTGGTAACCCAAGCTGAGAGGGTGGGGCCAACCCAATAAATCAAATTACTGGAGCATTTTGTGCAGTGAATAGTTTATGGTGTCCTCAGTTTGATTTACGGGTCTGGGCGACTAAGGGCTTAAAGGGTCACATTGAAGAATGAGGAAAATGTAATGTATCAGATTTATCAGCAAATTTATCTAGAGGCTTCTAAAAGCCCCAAAATGCTCAAGAGAAAACAGCAAAAGACTCTGAGAGTTGTGGCAGCAATTAACAAGGCAGGATGTTCTTAGCTCAGTGTCTGTGCCTAATTGCTTGGCTCTTTCTCTTTGATATAGCCATTCATGGGAGACAACTACTGTGACTCAGTAAACAACAGAGCCTTCTGTAACTACGATGGAGGAGACTGCTGCCAATCGACTGTCAAGACTAAAAAGGTTAGTGGCATTTATTTACCTGGAAATGAGACCCCCCCCCCAAAAAAAAAGTACTTATCCCACCTCCTGCATATGTTTTTATCATTTTACTCTACTGCTATGCATTCAGTGGAGGTTGCATGATATCTTTAATAAGCTTTGATACTTGTGAAAATCCTATTTTCAGTGTACTGTAATGAATCACAGTGCTCTGCTGAAAGGTATAGTATTTCAACCTTTGGACGATCTCTAAACAATTTCTTCCTTCCATTGTCTTGTGTGCACTGGTAGACAGATTACAGACCCTGAATTCAAGAGAGTGGGAGGTTTTAGACTTCATCAATAGTGCTCGCAAAATACCACTTGCTGCGGTATTTTGTTACTTAATCTGTTATTTTGTATAGTGTGTTCACACAATTATGTGACATTTGGGTAGTAATTTTACTTTATTTTTAGTATTTTTAGACTATTTTAAGTAAAGGCTGTAGTTATTTGATGAGTACATCTTACTTACTTTACTACCTCATTCTAATAATAAAAGAGAACTGTCATTTTATCTATGCATTCGTTTAATCTTTCAAGAATTTTGTTTTCTATTTTTAAAATTCAGCATTGCATTTTTAAAAAATGATGATTTCTGTGGTATTAACTCCCTAAATTTTGAGTGGTACTTTGCCTGTCTCATCCCTGCCAGCTATTGGCAAGAATTATAGATGGATGTGTAGTTTAGCTTCTGGGCTGCAGCATCTGCTTTCCTGGCCTGGCCTGTTTCTCTGAATCTGGTGAAAGACTTTGGTTGTACTCCCGGCATATCCATCTGTATGTCTGGCTAGATTTATATTGAAATTGATGTCTATCACTGGATATGTCACTGTGTCTTAGTGGACAGCTTTGTCGTATCCCAATTTCATGTTTTTGGGATACATATATAAATATTTAGTAAGGTTGTTAGTTAGCAACTTCATCTTTAGCATCTATCTATTAAATCACTATGAATCTATCTTAAAATACAAATTCTTTAATTTCCTTCTTCTATTTATGTGCTATTGGCTTCTATCAGAATGCGATTCAAAATTTGAGTCTTTGAGTTCTTTCTTTTATAAGTTAACTATCAAATCTAAGCCATTGTATTCCAAATGCAGCAGAGAGTTGATGAATTGTTATCAAATTGCAAAATCTTCTGACCCTTTGGGCAGAACTTGCATAACGCACTTTTGTTGATGGATCCTATCAGGAGAACAGGCCTTATTTTTTGAGAGTTAGAAGTTATACATCAAAGGGTAGCATGGTCTAATGTTATGTTTGGATGGAGCAACACATCTACAGTTTAAAACTGAAATGCTTTTGAAGGTTTTGACATCTGTGTCTATGTTCCAGAAATAGTTTAGACTAGCTGAACGCTAAAGAAATCTTGAAGCACAATCAAAAAGCAGTGTCCTCCACAAAGGCTTATACTCTATACTCTAAATTTAAGAAATTAAATTTGTATCAAAATTTAATGGGTCCTTTTGTTGCTCATATACCGCATGCACCAAATTTGATTAAATTTCACTAGGTTTCAGGGTAACCTTGCTTTCAATTACACATACACACAAATTACATGGGCCAGTGCCCTGCCAAAACAAATGTCTATGCCCCATCTCAAAACTTCAAAGAAAGCGATCCCCATCTGCACTAGTTTTAGCATTTTTTTCTTTGCCCATACTCTACTTCTTCACCAAGAAATCAATTTGGAAGTTTATGCATGGTCTTGTCAACAAGAAGACAGACAAACCTACAAAACTCAGTAACATCAGAAATACATTTTTGCATTTTGCATTCATTGAAAAATGCTTTTCAAACCATGTGCGCAAAGAAGTAATCTCCTCATTCTATAACTGTCAACCACAGAGCCGCGTACTGCACAACACAAGATCAACAGATTCAGAGGAACCTTTAACTATATTGACAGCGTACTCTATATTAAACTTGAGCAATAGTTTTAAAGAAAAAGTCTCAGTATATATCAATATAAGAAGACGCATGCGAGAGAGATATACTTTTTAACACACAGTCCCTGAGGTTTACAGGTTTTAAAAGAAAATTGAACAAAGAAACATTAGGCAAAGAGAAACATTTTGTGAAACCACCCTCGTAGTCAGTAACAGCTGATAAAGATCTGCCGATACTTTATTTCTTCCTTGGTGATGCTCTCCAGGCCATTCACCACAGCAACCTTCAGCTGCTCTTTGTTGCCGGGTCACTCTGCCTGTAGTCTTGTTTTAAATCACTATGAATGAATTTTTAATGGGATTTATGGCTGACTTGGTCAGTCAAGGAAATTCTTGATTGTTTTTGGTTGCTTTTGGCTGTTTGTTACAGACCTGAATGATGAAATATCATACATTTATATATATTTGTCTCAGTTTGAACACACAAATATTATTGTAACATCTTGCAACAAAGAAAGTGGAATTGTGTCTCAAGTCCATTTAGTATGTGTGATTCTTAGTATTCAATAGTACAGCATGCAAGTTTACACACAGCTTGTAATCTACAGTTTGTTTATTATGACTTTTCGTCCCCTGCTGGGGCTCAGACCACCTGCTGCTGGTAATCATATATGGACACGCCTCTGCCCAGGCTGAGGGGAAAAGAGCATTTCTAACATTTCCCCAAATAACTTTGTTGCCTCCTAATACTTCAATATATTGGTAATAGATAGAATAGTAGTAATATGCTATTTATCAGCAAAAATGTCGAGCAAAGTATGGTTTTACTTTCCAGAACCTCAATTGTTGTGGAGGAATCTTGCAAGGCTTAATGCTATAGTATTTCTAAGCCAAAGAAACGGCATACTGAAAGTCAATAGTGTGATCCACAAAACTTGTACAAAACTATTACTGAAATAACTACACAAATTAAGCGTGAAACCATCCAGTGAATGCTATTATTACTAATAGTCATACTAGAAATAACAATGAGGTGAAGATAAGCTCCGTGATCTTCACCGCAATCTGCTATAATTCTTAATTTTCAAAGAAATTGGAAAGTTTTATCCGTTTTTCTTAATGACTCTAGGCTGTTCCCCTGGGTTTACACCTGAACAATGCTTGTCCAAATTCTATTTAAAGACATTATGCATGGACTGCAACTACAACTGGCTGGTGTTTTCCACTAGTGGGTCCCCTGCAAATTATTCAAGGCATTTAAAAAAAATTATTCTGAAATAACCAGTTGTAATTTGATTTATCAGCTGCCAGGAGCAAGGGGCAAGGAAAGGTTACTGTGGGTGAGAAAGAAAAAGGAAACACTAAGGAATTAAGCTGATATGTGAAATTGATATAGGAACAAAGGAAAACCAGATGTTTGACATTAATCCCTTTTCTTGCGAGCACATTGCTTAATTGATGCTTTTTGCTCGCAAACACATGTTGCTTAATGTCTTGGCCAATATAAACATACCTTGTTTTCACGAAACTCAATTTAACCTGAATGCGAGTTTTAAATTATTACATTTTAACAGCCTTCCTGACAATCTTTATATGTTACTTTGATATCGCTGCCCAAATTTCCTCTCTATTTATTGTTTTAGTACTTGCGTTAATAAGACATTTGGATTTAGTTGTTTATCTCATATTCTCACAATCATTCCTTTTTGATCAACTCAGACAAGTCAGTTACAGGGCGTTTTGCACCTGATGCTTATTTTCTCCAATGCATGGCGAGTAACCCAGGACAGAGATTCATAAAAAAAATATGTTATATATAATAAAAACAAATGTGTAACTCATTACAGATTCTGCTTCTCTGACCTGCTGATTAATGCTTTTCCCAGCTGACAAAGACAGACAGTTTTTATCTCTTCAGAGTGAAATCAATGTTCCCATCCAGACCTCAAATAAAGACATTGTTCCAGCTCGCTTACATGTGCCTAAACACGTATTTCATCAACAAAGGTTTTGTTTCTGTGACACTGTGATTTTTTTTTTTTTTTTTTTGGTTGGATTTTTTTTTTAAGTCATCCACAGTTGTCTTAATCAGAGACAATAGCATAATCCTTTTTTGTCTGTCTTTGATACAGTACATTTACTCTGCTATAATGAAATACAGTTCCACGCATTAAATTAAATGAAGTTATTTGTGAGGTGTAAATTGCATTTTTTTTTATATTTAAGTACCTGTGCATTAAATTTACTGACTAGAGACAAAAATAACTTTTTGATTTTTTTTGCAATATCTCCGATGTCTCTTTGCAGTAGGCTCCTTGACCCGGCTGGTTGTATTCTGGTTATATCCTATGTAAAAGCAAGGTTACTGAGTGCACACGTTGGTTTGCCATTAAATAGCCCTCTTCCGACAACTATGTCGCTATTTATGGATGTAAGTGTTGATGTGAATTTCTGTTCAATGTGATTTTCTGTATATGTAGACAGCAACAGTTTCATCAGATGTATAACATGTAATTGCCAACGTTACCCCACTGCACTCTCCAGCTAACTGCTATTTTGTCTCTGTCCTGACAGCCATGTGGTTAATTTACACAGATAATGAATTATAAAAGTTGTAATGTAATTGCACTGTAATTAAATTTCATAAATAAAGCAAAACCAACAGATAAATGATTGTGAGAGAAGAAGAAGTGAAAGCTGTGTACTAAATACAAATGCTGTCATGCAGTTAGCATTTTTTTAACATTAGCGTCAGCATTTAGGAAATATTTACTAGTTGTGGCTCTGGCAGTACAACTAGTACAAACTTTTTCTACATAGACAACAAAACCCAAACGCCAGTCAATGCCGTAACACAAAATAATTGTTCATTAATGTTGTTTGTGTAAGCTAGCTAGCTTTTGCCATCACCTTCGACGCTGAAAATGAATCTTTCTTCCGCTGGCTTCTTAACGTAGCTAACATGGTGACCATTGAGGGTGAGAAGAGTAGTTTTTAAATACCTTTTTGTCTAGTATGAATAAACTGAGTACAGGTGGTGCAGTGTAGAGAGCGTGAATGCACATAGGAGCCGTGATAGTAGCCTACAGA